AATTCGAATTTAAATTCGAATTGGTTCGATTATAGAACGATTGTAAACGTCCCAGAAAATTGATCAAATTGAAAATAGTTCGTTTGACTGGACGTAAAAATTCCCTAATTAGTCTGGAAACGGGTGACCTAATTCTTGCATTTTGTGCTATAAGGGTGCGGGAGATATGGGGTTGAAAGTGGTTGACTTCGAAGATGTGTAACAATGGAAGTGTTAACAGTGGAAGTGTTAACAATGGAAGTGTTGAGTAACAAAGAAAGTGTTAATATAAAGCGGCATGCAAGATTTACAGGCGGTCTTTTGCGTTTTTGCGGGAAATCGAACATATTTTTAGACTCATGTAAAAATTTTCTAATTAGTCTGGAAACGGCAGACCTAATTCTTGCATTCTGTGAAAACGGATAAGATTAGCTATAATGTAATTATCTTAATCTTCACTATCGTTACTTTTTGCCCAGCGAAGCGGGTCCTTGCAGCTAGTAACAAGAATAAAAGAGTAATATTCACGTCGTCTTGTGTTAAAAATTGAATATTATTAATGTTAAAAATAATTTACTAATCCGAAAAGTCTTCCAACTCGTTCGACATTGCATGGCCTCTGCATAGAAGCGTAATCCACATCAAGTGAATCACAAATAAGAGCAAAACGATCCTTGTGGCCTGAAATATTATAAAGACAGTTCAATTATTTTTTATTGCAGTAACAAGATTTCTTTATTGTTTGACAAAATTGATGCTATTAGGCAACTCATGCATCATTTTTAATTAAGAACATTGTTAGACCTATATAGTACCCTCTGGCAAATAATACGATGCTCTAACTCTCTCTACGCCTTCGAGAGTATTGTTTATGAATGTATTATAATTTTTCATCATCTTGTAAGCTATTTTATGCATTTCGTAGTGACTGCTGGCGAAAAAGTTCTCAACATAAGAATCTTTCAGAATTCCAAATGGAATTGTACTCAATTTCACCAAATCTTCCAGAGAATTAACTTCTAAAAATAAAATAAAGCGAATAACTTTTTAAATACTGTAAAGTATTTACTTGAATATATTTTATTACCTTGTTTCATATTTTGGACTGTCATAAATGCTGCCAATTTTGCTGTATATGCTGCAATAAGAATAACGGTAGTTAGCCACCATGTCACCATTACAATTCTTGCCGGAAGATTCTTTTGTTGTTCAAATTCTGTTCCCTAAATACACATATCAATTAATTAAATTTTTCATTATACAAATAAAGTCGTTAACAACAAATAATTGGTCACCTACCGGGGCTACAAGCGACGAGAAGCTCCACCAAAATGCTTGTGGAAAAGTGATCCAAGAAGAATCTCTAACGCTTTGATTTGTTTTTCTTATCTCCTTTCTACTGTTGTTAAAATTATTTGGTGTTAAATTTACACATATAACGAGCACTAGAGAAGTAAAAATCACCGACACAGCAATGGTAAGCCACACTGTTGTTTCGAAAGGTGATAAAAATGCAAAATAATTTTGTTTAGTTTTTGCATTATATTTTGGCATTAATATAGCCAAACCTAAATCGTAGTAAGGAGCTGTAAAGGTGATAACTTCTTGTCTTTTCCAAGATACCGTGAAGGCAGCTAGGCCCAAATCTATTTTCTAAACATACGAAATATTTTATAA